GATACGGGAAGCAGAGCACTAACAAGAAGGTCCATTCAATGTGTGAGATGCAGTAAATATTTTCAGAGCCTTGACTGCACCAGAGGGATGGTACTCGAGGTGTCCTTGACACCTACGCAGCACGCTAAGAAAATAAAAAGCTTGTTAACGTCACACTGGACGGCTCCTTTATGGGCCATTCTGTGGTGATTTAGGGTCTGATGGATATTCAGGCCTGTCAGGAGCACAGAAATTAGCTCAGTACGGATAGATGTTTGTTATTAAGGCATTGAGCAACCATTTAGAAAAAAAATATTATAGGGAAAAAGTGATATAATAGGGAAAAATAATTCACTGGCATTATAAGTTAGATGACCAGTTAACAACCTAGCAACCAAAAAGAGTGTTGACAAATGTCTAATTTATTTCCCCTTTCCAGATGTACCAGAGGATTGTACATAAGCTACAGACCTGTGGGAACTGATGTATTCTGTAGTGCATAATCATTTTTAATGGTTTGAGAAAGTAAGAAGAGAAATCAGTACTATGTGATTCACTAGCCAAAAGAAACAACATGGACTTATGTGAATCAACACAGTGGCATTTCCACTTTGACCTCATCAATCTCATAGTTCAGCAAACCACAGGACAGACAAGGTTTCAGGAGAATTTTGAAATGTAAATGCTGTCAATAGCAATTACAGGATATGGTAAGAGGGTAAGAAGAAGCAACAGTGGGTTTGTCAATATATACAATTCAATTTTTAGTCCAATTTTACTACAAGCTGCACCAATACCTCAAGCATTCCACCTCAACATTAAATAACCATGTTTTTTTCCAGACAGTGATTTTATAAAGACTCATTTGGAACCTCAATCAAGCCAAGTCCCTCATATTGCCAAACAGTAATCAACAAGTCCCAAGACTGAAATAGGACAGAAATTTGTAAGTGAAAGTGAAAAACACATACATCTTAAATAAAAAAAATTAAAATTAAATTCAAGGTACCACAATGCAAAAACATAAACACAGCCTGGCAATACTGTAAATGTAAATGTGACCAACGCGCATTCAAAAAAACAACAAGAAAGTATACCAACAGCTACAGTACATTAAACTTACAATACACATTGCAAAGACGGCAATATAAACTTGAACATGACTTTCACTTGACAAGCAGCTCGGTAACTTTTACAACAACACACTTTTAAAAGTACTAACCTCACTTGAGTGACGTGATTCGGCGCTTCTGGTGACGTCTTGGGGGTAGAACTGCATGTGTAGACAACCTTTGGTTTAAAACTTCATGTTTGAGCCAGAATTAGTATCAACAACAGATAATGTAAACAAGTTCGTCAGTTAGCTTGAGCAACGTTAGCCACTAGTACTTCCGCCCGCTCAGCGCGCAGACCGGAAGTACGGCTATACGAGTGACGTCGAGTAAGAGAAAAAATGGAGGCGGAACGACAAAATGTTTCAAGCGTGAATGTTTCTCCCTTAATTATTATAACATACGCACATGTATATCATCAATAAAGCGGGGTGGGTTTTCTTTTTAGCACAAATGGGAAAAATACAAAATTAAAATTCTATATGTTTCTAGGTTCATAGCCAATGGGTTCATTTCAGCCAGTTAAGATTTAAAAATAAAAAGTTATTTTAAATTTTTTTATTTTTAAATTATTTTTATGAAACAAATACACTTTTAATTGCTTTTTTAATTAATTAACTTAGTTCCAGAAAAAGGTTGGGTAACTTTTATAAAATATTATATAACAAATATTTTCACATGAAAGACTGACTTTCACTATGCTGTCAAAATGTGTTCAAGGGCAATTGCTGACATTACACGCGCCCCTCACTTATTTCTGATCCTGATTTAGGGGTTAAAAGAACATTGCGGGAACTTTAGGTAACCTAGCTTCACAGCATTACTTTGTAACCATGTATCAACTTTCACACATTCTTCTTCTAGCGCCTGCTTATATCTCCTGCATGTTGTCATTACTTTAGATTCAGAGGACCAGCATGTGTTTTACTGAAAGACAAATCCCCACGGATCAATCAAACCCCTCTGGCAATACCTAAAAAGGTAATGTTGAACAGACATCTTTTCTTTCTGCATATAATATAACCTGTCAAACGCAGGTGTATCCAATAACATTATGAATCGTTTCATACCACTGCTGGAACAACGCCATCCTTCACAGTGCGAAGAGTCCCAGTGTCCACATGTAGACCATAAAAAGTATGATATGTGCCTTCAATTTGGGAACAATGGTATTTCAACAAAACATTATTTCAACATTAGACAAGCCTTTGGAGTGAGAGATCTCGTTAAAAAATCCAAAATATTATATAATAAGTCATTGATGCTTTCAGGTTCCCTGTCAAACACAGTGAAATATTTGTTTTGTCTGAAACGTATTCGACTCTGTGCGAATTTGAACTCTGAAACTAATGAACAACATGTGAGCCGGGAAAAAGAAATGTTCTCCTGTGACGATTTTAGTGGAATCAAGTTCAGCCTGGCCCCTTGTTTCTAGTTAAAAATAAATGGATTCACTCAGTGTTGTTGGAATAAAAACATGTAGTACCAAAGTGTAAACACATAAAAAATTATGTTTATTGTTGTTTTCAGTCAAAACCGGTCTTTGTTTGCGGTTAGAGTGTATTTTCACACCTCTGAGTCTCGTCTTTCTCCAGCAGGGGGCTGTTGATGGGCTTGGCATTTTGGTGCCTGACTTGTTCTTGAACAAAACAGCACATCCTCTTCTGCAGTGCAGTGTGCTACCAGTAATTACCTCACTCATCAATTCATTCTACAACAGCTTAAGTGCTAATGCAGCTAATCTCATTAGAGTGATGTGATTACGGAGAACATGGCCCACTATCACAGCCTCGGGGGTTACGAGCACACGAGATTAGGTCTCGTCCACTCTTTGGCCTGAGTCGCCCATAAATGATGCATTACCCAAGAAATGATAAATGATCTAATTCCTCAGATTCTGCATCAGATTCCAAACTGTTGCACAACACCTAATGTCGAAATACTCCTATAATAACTTATATTGTGAATAATGGAGTTCATTTTCAGGACGTTCAGTTTCACTCAGATAGTTGAAATAAACACTAGCTATACATCCAGAAGAGGCAGTGACGTCAGAGTGAAAGTCACTGCCATCTCATTGGTATTTTTAAACATCTGTTTCTGCTTGTAGCCGAGGAGTGTAAAGCCATGTTGTTGTTCGATGTGTTGCAATAACATCCTGTCCCCTCTAAAAATGTGTTTTTTTTGTGTGTGTGTGTGTGTTTTGTTTTGTGGAAAACAGATCTGAAGCTTGACACTGAAAAAAAGCTCTCCCCTCTCTTCCTGAGAGGTCTCGTGAGTCAGATATAGATCGTTGATATTTTTATGCTTCAGTGAGAGCGAGACCCCGCAGATGATTTGTTACCATGCAGGTTTCGGCACTGTGACAGGATATGCAATACGACAACATTTACCTAATGGACGATTCTTATCATTCACAGTAACTGAGGATGAAATGGAGAGGGATCATAATCCCCCGCAGGTGTAAATGTCTCTGTTGCTGTGTTAAATGAGTTAGCCTCCGTCTCGACCGGCCCTTCCTGGAAAATGACATGTATGAAGACTGAAGAGCAGATCTCTGAGGGTTTTTCTACATCTTTGTACCTGCTGACTTCTGACCTGACGCGACCTCCTGGACGCTCTGAACTATAGAAAGCCTGGTAAATGTGAAGCCTCTCCAATGACTGTGTCACACCTGACTGAGCAAAAGCCACCAAACAGGACCTCCACTCAGCTCAAAGTGTTTGTTTTTCCTTTCTTTCCTCATTTGTCTTTATCCCAGGTGACGACTTTCTTCACAGTCAACACTGTGAACACAGAAACTGAGGTGACGGAGAGGATGACGGCCGTGCAGCCTCATCCGTCACTATCCATCTCTGTGACAGCTGCAATAGACTGAGACAGGAAGGTGTGGATGAGAGCCACTTCTCAACACCTGTCAGGACCCTGAGAGAAAGAGAGAGAAAGACATACATTTAGCTTCAGCTAATCTTCCATATATAACACAATATGGTTTCCCAACATTTGTTTTTACAAACCGGATGGATGGATGGATGGATGGATGGATGATAGATAGATAGATAGATAGATAGATAGATAGATAGATAGATAGATAGATAGATAGATAGATAGATAGATAGATAGATAGATAGATAGATAGATAGATAGATTTGTAGTAAATCACAAAATTTGGTAATGTATCAAATCACAACAAGTCCATTGGATTATCTTCGATGGATGGATGGATGATGGATGGATTTGTGCCCAAACCCAAATCAATCATATCAAATTTAAATCTCTAAAAACATTCTTCATCATCATCGTCCAATACCATCAGTCACTCAGCGGTACGACTCTGTCCTCACCTAGTCCCCCTGTAGTCCTCCAGTAATCCCTCATCCCAGCCAAGGGCGAGCTGGTGGCAGCTATTAATACAGTGTGAGGACATGTCCAGTCACTATCGCAGCCCGTCTGTCCCTTTAATGCTGTGCCGCAGACAGGAGACAGTGGATTGTCATATGATGAAAGGTGATAGGAGTGTGGAGGGAAGAGGTGGTCGAGACCACAGAGTGCTGTGATTATCAGTATGTGTGTGTGCCAATTGTCAAGCTAATGAATGAAAGCTGGCGTTAGTGGAAGAAATGAGGGAAGATTTTGGAGGAAGAGAGTACGGGGGGAGTCAGTGGAGGGAGGGGGGTCAGAGGAGACATTATTGTGTAAGATCTGGAGAGAGTTTGTTTGTGTGTAGGTGTGTGTACAGGCTGTTCACCACACAGAGCTGGGCTGGGACAATACGTCAACTCCCACTGGTATCATTCATTCATTATTGTAATGTGTGTGTGTTGTGTCAGAGAGAGGGAGAGAGAGAGAGACTGAGAGGGAGAGAGAGAGGAGGGAAGTGTGTGTGTTTGTGAGTCAGTGTCTCGCTCCACCACTTAAGTTAAATCAGAGCCGGTCACTGGGACACTGCAGTGTTCTCCCCTCCTCTCGTCTCCTCTCGTCTCCTCTCGTCTCGCTGCTCCCAAAGCACCAACCGTCTCCTGCTCCTGTGTCACAGGTAAGAACACACACTTCACACCACACATCCAACGTCTCTTTCATTTCTCTTATCGGACATTAACTGAAAACTAGTGATGAAGAGAAGAGCCACAGTACAGTGCCACCTGTTGGAGCTGTTTGTTCAACTTGTTCATGTGAAAGTCCGGTGTCTGCCCTCAGTGCACCAACACTGAAACCACTGCTGTATACCTGAGCAGATTTTTT